TAGCCGGAGTAGCTGTGATAATCCTCTCTGGCTCTGGAGCACTTGGGAGGTGTTCAGATTCTTGTATTCTTTGGGGTATAGAGCATTGTTTAAAGTCATTGCGTCCGTTTCCTGATACCTTGCTATCAAGTCACGCTGAGACATTAAGTCGTTCACGCTAAATTGTCCCCAAGACTTGGTGATATTAAACCTGAACGTAGATATATTCTTATGATCGATATACTCGTGAAGTAGGCGTTTGAAACTATGTGTCATCAAAGCGTCCCAGGCAAATTCATCGCGTCCCTTTTCCAGAAACTCCCGGTTTTTAGGCCTGTTGAACAATTTAAACAATTCCTGCATCCATGTTGTAGTCAAGAGAGTATGGGCACGGATAGGACCTAGAGGAGTGATGAATATGAACCAGTAATTATCCCCGCCGAAAATGAAATCGTAATCCGCCAGCATGTTCAACTTGGCCTTCATACTGCCAAAGCTGAGGGTGTCAACGTCCATGTATATGCCACCATATTGGTGCAGCATGGCGGCACGGTAATAATCGGCTTGATGAACGGGGGTGAGCGACTTAAAAGCCGGGTGGACGTAGGGAACGCTTTTCTGAAACTCTGTTGCGTTTAACAAATATAATTGAAAGTCTTCATGGTTATGGCACAAAGCCGACAGGACACACAGCTCCGTAAAAGCCGGTGGCGTCGATCCGTTCCAATACATGAACATAAACGGTCTTCCATTTTTCTCATAGATATGTGTATCTTTATTGAAAACAGCGTCGCTTGCGTCTATAAAGACGGTGTTAAGCCGTGGCCATAGCGTTTCTCGAATATAATTGACCTTTTCAATCAAACTTATATTCTTGTTAATCCAATTATGTCTTGGAGAAGTTGCAAAGCTTGAATCCTGTCGCAGTACCTTGGTCATCATTTTAGAATATGTTTTATAGATCAGAACATTTCCGTTCATGAATAATATCACTCCTGTCGAATATACGACTACGGCCATAAGAAATACGAACATGCAAACTAGACAAGGTCGGCTCAAAAGCTTTAACGCCCTCCATCGCAGCATCATACTGTAAAATATAGCCAGTTCTTTTTTCCTCCGTCAGACCCAAACAATGACTTTTCATTTTAATATTCACTGATATAAGTCTCTGGCTTATTATGTGCTATTTTTCTGTCCATAATTGACGTCATCACTCACCTGACCTGTGGTGGAGGGTAGCAATTTCAATGGCGGACGGTCTAATTAGTAGTCCCTCATACTGGTCATTTCCCTGACTAAATTACACGCACCTGTAAAAATGTTCCGGGCACTTCACTTGCACACCTGCACACTATGTGATCTCGACAAGAGGACGGAGGGCAGCCAACGCTAAATGTAAATGCACTGACACACGCGCACGCAGGTACAAATATTGTGCAGATATAACCACTTGTGTCTCTATTCCAGTCTTTATCCGACAGCACACGGGTTTCTGTAAGCTCCTGGACCTTTGACATTTATAGTGTACTATCGATTTATGTTCAAGTGCATCCAAATAATATATAGCATATATATAAATATGTATATATAAACTAGTGGCTGCAAATAGATAGATAGATCGTTATTTCGTGAACCACGCCCAACTCTTCTTTTCCTACTTGTAAAACCGTGGATTCGCCACAGGGAGATAGCGATGAGGTTTTGACATAACGCGGTTGTTTTCATAACAGACCCATGATTTATATATGTCCTCATGTGTAAGCTGACATCGAGAAGAAGACAATGATGGTAAATAGATAAACGACAACGCACCCAACTTGTGGGTAATTTCCCCTATTTGTCAGTAACGCTCGACTGAATTAATTCATTTATCTGTGCGATATAAAAGGCATTTGTGGTTGGTCGCTCTTTTTTGTACCAAATTATTGTGCGTTTTTATGTATTATTTAGATGCAGATGTCACGCGAATTTCTTTCTCTGTATCATATTGTTGTGGAAAACTATTTTTAAAAAGATACATGAGCTATGAACGGCCTCGGTATAAAAACATGCATTTTTCCCTAAGACGACCAGGCTTCATTAAAAGCGTATTGCACTTAATTATATAAATCTTGAGTGAGTTGACATTTTCGAATTTCTATTCCTTAAGAAATCCATCGTGGTTTTCAACTAAATGTCATGTAATCGTACTTCATTGTATGAACACTGGGGCACTATAATAGGTTTATGTCAGCGTGCCAGCTACCTGGTGTCTGGAAGTAGTACAAAAATCATAGTACAAAATGGCAACACCGACATTTGTGACGGCCTCCTTTCACACGGTTGCAGCTTCTGTTTAGATGATCTCTAGATTTACAAACAGGATGAGATTATTCCAATTTGAATAATTTATATCGCAGCTAGCGCGAAGAAAATAGCGCGCCAACTTTATTGATTCCTCGGGTCTCATCCCCGGTATTACATGATTGTATTTGCAGACTGTGGCCGTGCGCATAAATATGCAATATTTTGAATATAAAAATTAATAATATTAAGGGATTACAACTCTATATTTGAGATTCAATTTATTACAGCAAATACATTTAAACAACAAATAGGACTATAATAAATTTCATTTTACATTTAACTGGGGTCATCACGTCATTCATAATGGGATCTCTGCATGCGATCGGACCACTTGGACCTTCACAGATGGCTTCTCTTCATATATATATATATATATATATATATATATATATATATATATTAAGTTGTAGATATTGCAAAGAGTACAATAACCCTTTATTATTATTATTATTATGNCCCCCCCCCCCCCAAAAAAAAAAAAATCGGCCTACGGAACTGAAAGTGTACTGCAATGGATAAAAACCATACATACCGCCACACTCAGGCACTGTTCCCTGCCAAGCGTTCCCCACGCACGTGCGGGTGAAATTCCCGCCTACTAACATCCAGGGGGGGACGCACGCGTACGTCACTGACTCTCCGGACTGGTACGCCGACTTTGGAGGAAAATATGTGGCTTGTTCGAGGCTGCTTGGGGGTCCGCAGGCTGTGTGAAGAGATTGTATAGTAACCATGAAAATCAGATGAAGTTATCGATGCCAATTTGTTGGCCATTTGCACCTTTATTATGCTTAGTTTATCCTTAAAAACAATAGAACTAAAATCTAATTTTGACCTCCTTCCAAAATGTATGCCTTCTGATAAAATCTATTAAAATGATTATTTTTTTTAAACTTATTTTATATCGCTCGCTTTTTAACTCGAGATGGAAGCATATTTTCCTTTCGTGTATGACTGTTCGGCTTAATTATGTTGTTTAGATCTTATGGTGTTTTTCTCAGAAAACACCTACCTGATTCTACCGTTACCCACACAGTGACACAAAGAACGAGAAAATTAAGTCCCTTAGCGCGTTGCATTGTTCGTGTACTAGTCTTCATTCGGAGCATGTTCAGCAAATCCTACACGTGGGTAGAATGAACAGCTGTAACTGTTACAAGAAAGGAGTTGTCCCTATACAAAATTAAGCCAATTATGCGGTTTGTAATGGAATTTTTATTAAATGAATTTTTTTATGCATTTAATCTATTAAATGTTATACATGTTTTATTTAATCCGCTAAAAATACTAAAAGCACCTACCTTTGGGGCAGCAAATCAACGCAAAGCGTAATACTCGCAACACACGGTCACTTACAAGAATGTCAACCGAGCAGGCCCCGAGTAAGTAAAACTCTAAATTAATCGAAATATTTTGAAATATGAATTATTTCCACTCCTCTAAGATATCGCGTCAGATTTCAAACATTATAATTAACAACGATGGTGTGGTATTTAGTATGCTCTTTTTGCTTCCTGAAAATAGTAATTTAATTTTATAAATACATACATTTTACTCAGAGTGCTAACGTTACGCGATATTAAAAACGGTTGTGGCTACGCTTTTCTCCATGCGCTTGAGGTTGTTGCTTTTTTAAATATAGCTTTTTACATCCAGCTTAATGGAACTTTCAAAAGATAAGAAAAATTGAATTATTTGAGCGAGAGGCGCACTTTGATAGCATATACATGTCCCTGTTGACATTCATCACGTTTTTATGAATGATTTATGGTTTTCTTTGTTCAAATTTTAATGAATAGTTAAATAGTTTAATCAAGGAGTTATAATATCTCCTTGGTTTAATAAACATCTAACTGAACTTAATTGTATGCATAGGACAATCACCAAAAACGCACATCAAAAGGTCCAAATTTTAGAAAATTATTCTGGGTCTCCCTGTGGGAGCACCTTTCCACCCACACAATGCTTATGTCTTTTGATATCCCTGATTCGATATCTAGTGAGTTAAGGCCGATTCTCATTTATGTTCTCATCTCCCTCCTCACATGGGACCCAGGCGGTGACGGCGATACTTCACCCCGGCACATTAACGTTCAACCATAATTACACTGCGATAGCATCAGAGGGCATAAACTTCCCAGGCTCCGTCGTGCATGCAGGCACGGAGACACGCCATTTACCTGATGTTTTCTCTATGATATTGATATATGAAGGAAGTAAGTCAAGCCTCTTTATTTCTCTCGATTTACTTGTCACGACGCAATGCCATGTCGCACCTGCGTCCGAAATTTTATACATGGGCTTTTGCGTTTGCGTTTGTTTTTCAGATACTTGCAAAGATCGGGAGATCATATGAATTTATAATGTCACCGAGTTAATGTACATTTAAAACTATCCAGTACTGGTTGTTGTACAGTTATTATTTCGCACTATGCGACTAGCATCGTTTACTTTGACGATATAAAAGGTAAATTTAGCACAATCACACAAGCGATGGTGTCATAACATTTTATTACGAAGGTATTATTGAGATATTTTAACTGGCAGTTTCATTCGCTGAACCCTAAATAATCCGAATTCATGCCACAATTAATGTATGCATACTTAGATGATGAATTTGGTCAAGTAAAATAAAAATAACAGTGACACCAATTACATACTACACACCTACTACCTATGTATCGAATACCTTTGCCACCGATTTGAATAGTGAAAAGCACTTAAACTGGAATAACATTCCTTATATAAGAACATGCCTATCGCTGCCGTCTGTTGTTTCTTTTTTGTCTAACTTCTAGTTAATGGTAACACGTGTAATACATTTATCACATCAAAGTATTGCAGCTGTCCGTAGGCATTTTGATCGTTTTGAATACTTTAATGCATATTATGTTAAGGTATGATTAAGATCATGATTAAAGGTGCACTGGCTATCTGTTTATTATTACCCTACACTTTATCATACTTTGCATATGCGTGGCTGGGATGTATGGCTTGATAGACTACAAATTATTTTCCATGCATGAATTTTGAAATTTGTATTTTTTTTAGGTAAAATATGTTGACCTCGGCCTACACCTGTGTGGACTTAACATGATTAATTGTTGAAGGCGAAAAGAGTAAGTCCAATGAACATCACAAGAGAATTCTGGAGAAGACTCCCCGCTTTGTTGTGGATCAGCCCACTCTGCGACGCCTGAGGAATAAACACAGAAGGCGCTGCATTACAGTTGTCTCCGCTGTTACACGCGCATCTCGTCCCCTTGACAACAGTGCCGGTTGCCATGGCATCGGTGTTTCCCGCAGCTACAAGTTCCAAAAGTGCGATCTTGTTAGCGGCGAAACCTTCCACCAGGGAGTCTTCCCTCATGTTCTCACATCCAGTAACTGTGACATTCGGACGACAGGTTCGAAACACCAGGACAGTTTCCACTTTGGTATTACCCTGAAAAGTTGTCTCTTTAAGTAAGCCTTCTGCGGAATGTTTCATATAAGATGAATAAAGGTATGGTTCAAACAATCCTCTTGACTCATTAAGGAACCAAGTGAAAAAAAATCAAAACTATACTAATCATTTCACAGGAATCATATCCAAAATATAATGATTACAATGCAATACTCTTGGTTTAGTTATATAATCAGCTTAACAAACCACAAACAAATCAGACGTGACACAAGTTGTTCATGTTGTTTACAGAACTAGTTTTAATATAAGCAATAAACACAGAATTCATCAACGTCAGATAGAATGATTACCGTCAGTGTTCTCGTCACAGACACATCCATGACGTCACAGTAACCATGGCCACAGTCTATCCTCTCAGTGTGGTTGCCATAGAGACAATCCGTGTTGTTCATTCCCTGATGCACGCCATGATGAGCAGAATTTGTGGCACCGTTTGGGGCAGACGCAACAGTCTTGTTGTAACCACAGAGCTGGCACATCCGGGCATTTCCTACGTGATGACGAAATAGAGAACAAATCAGTAAATTAAATAATATTTATAGCACTCATGCATTCGTGGTGTTTCAGACCGTGAATAACAGAACTGGTTTTGTTCCCAGAGAGGAAAAGTGACCCTATATTGGATGAACACACACACACACACACACACACACACACACACACATGTTTATATTAACAGTACCAGGGTGCGTTTTGTAAATCTATGGTATTGCAGAACATTTCGGACCTATACATGTACTTGTGCATATAATTTCCCCACATCAAATGTATTCTGAACTGATTTCCAGAAAACATCTGAATTTTTGAGAGAATTTTGGATAGACACTGATGGAATAAAAGCCTGAGAAAACGGTCTTTACGACGAAAGCATTTTTTTCTGGAAACCCCTCTATCATACTAATAGTAACTCTTTCATTATTAAGTGCACACCTGAAAGTCAAAAAATAGAAAAAAGGGCTTGGCTGCGAGTAGTTTTTTCCTGCTTAGTGTAGCTTATAATGTGTACATTGTGGCCAAGCTATTTAGTTAATACTGGTACAAGTGGTGAATGAGGCTCGAGGCCATTACTTCATGTACAAAATGAATCAATTCATTTCCTTTTGAATAATTCAGATTTAATTTTTAATAAAAAAGGCTTTGCTTTGTATACGAGCATGCATGCATTCCACATTGTTCAAAGAGACTGCTTGAAGCAGCAAGGCGACATATTCAACAAAGGCTTTCTGCATCACTTCGTGTATAAAATTAATGAATCCATTTCTTTTTAAATAATTCACATTTAATTCAGACGAACAATATTACTACTTCAAGATGGAAAGTAAGGTTAAAAGGATAACAAGTCTTCATATGAGATTGGGAATACCACAATAAATACATTGTAAATAGCACATAAAATATACGGTTTAATATTGCAATTATTTTAAAATCTGTGCTTGCCATCGGACCACTTGGGCTTACTTATATGGCTACCTCGGTAATAATCTCTTAAGTGATTACTATAAAAAGGCTAACTTAGAATGTCAAAATGATTCATTTACCATTGAAAGTATGGGAAATTATTATTTACCCCAGCAAAATCCGTTTTAGGGTACTTTTCCAATCAAACTGAAGAGTTGTCATACAAACCTTCAATACTTCAAATTGCACACGTCCACCTGCGTATATAATTAGGGCAGAAAATAAAATGAGTCACGATCACATACAAGCGACTCCATTAACATGCAAGTCTGGTGATTATTTTGCTATCTGTACAGCTTGGGCTAGCACTGACACATATATCAAAATGTTTCGTGGATATTTGGCACCAATTATAGAGATACTGTAAGTTTCCAAAGTGGCAACCAAGCTTGCTGTGGGGCCCTGCAACGCTTAATCAATAAATAATCATTTCACATGAAGCACAATTTTTACCAGTAGGGTCCAAACATTTTGCCTGGTATACTTGGTGTTTTTGGATTTACCCGGTTTTCAAAACGTCAACATTTTCAGTTACTGTAGGGTCTCTCTGTGGGTCTCTCTTTTCATCTTCATAAGACGAAACATTCCACTTAATAATACTCACAGTGTCTGCAATATCATTAAAATCAATACCAGATTGTTTGAGTGTGTCAATCTTTAAGTGTGAGAGAGACACGTAAGCAACGATGCCGGCAAGCAATGCATGAGTGGCAAGGCAAGTTTTCACATTGATAGCTGGTGCAAACAAATATCGATCCAGGACTGAAACGGAATGTCTAAAGGCAACACAATTAGTGAAAACCGAAGACATTCTTTCTTACAGAGAGTTTCACGAGTAATGCGCGCTACCAGATGTATAATTAACTGTATGTCAGTGTATTTGTACCTTCATTATAAATAAGCGTATGTCATAATTACCTCCGCCAAGGAGGGTAATATATGTTTTTGTTCCGTTTGTCTGTCCTTTTGTCTGTAAGCAAAATAAAAATGATGATTATTTTGAAGAATTTTTTAAAATATACTGTCTGTTGTGAAACAAACCGCAAACTATATGATTTGGGGGGCGACCCAATAATTAATTTATTAGTAAATTAATAAAGTCTGTTTATCATTACGCAAAATGTTACAGAGAGATATTGAGCAAATTTTCAGGATAACTCCGAAATGGACTAAATTTCGGTGGTATTTATTTATCTGTTTAGTATTAATTCATTAGTTAAATTATTTATTTACTAAAAAATAGAGCTAATTAGTTAGTTAATTAATAATCGAATTGAGCTGTCTGCGCTCTCTGAGTGCGTAACTACACTGTAAAAACAGTGTTTAGCATTTAAATACATACAACACACGTTAGGCACCTATACGCATTTAGAAATCTGTGTAAATGCTAAACGCGTATAGCTTTTCAAACGTTTCACAGAAGAAAAAGCTAGACACGTTGGCATTGTTACACGTTTAGCTTTGTGTTTAGCTTCACCGGCATATGATTCTATAACAAGTCTATCACTAGCTAAGCACATTGGCTAAGCACTTCCCCTGCTAAGCGTGTGAGGCTGCTAAACATATGGAGCTGCTATAGGTGTGGAATTCCTTAACGCGTGGAGCTGCTAAACATGTTTAGCTTTTCAAGCTCGTCACAGAAAAAGATGCTTCACAATCCCATATATACGATCCCATAACAAGTTTTTTACAAGACTCAGCAATTTTGCTTAAGTAATAATCCAAATAACAAATAACGTTTTCACGACGTTATCAGCTGGTTACATGATGGTGATGGTATAGAATAACGTCATGGTAACGTTATGGGTGTTTTTAACTCCATGCAAAATGATGCCCTTGCAGTTTTATAAGCGTTTTATAACATTCTGGAAAAACATAATTTAATGTTTTGAAAACTTTTTTTTATTAATCACCAAAACACGTCTTATGCTGTATGAACTACAGTTAGTGGTTAATTCCAAAATGGGCTTGGGTTAGTCGGCGACTAGAGCGGTGCGATTTGAAAAATATTCGGACTATCGTTACCAAAGTAACCAGCATGTGATGAAAGCTTAAATAAACCATTATAATGAATACTCCACCATCATCCTGATGTTCTATTGTTCATTACTTTTGGAAAAAATAAATGAACATCAATAAATTAACGCATTTTATCAAAATATGAACAAAAATGTTTTAAAGTAAAAGTGATAGTTGTTTCGTGTCTTTAGTAAACTAGTGAATTTTCCTAACTTGTTTTTCAGAAATATATTCCAATTAACTTCCTCGCAAGGTCAGCTAACACAAGGATGAATAAGTCCCGCTGTAAAGATGATGGTGTGAATCAACTATGTTGACAGTTCACGGTACCCTGTTGTGGATAGAGATAGCTATAGCAGTCAAAGTTGACCGTGACTTCGCGCGCGCGCGCGCGTGTGTGTGTGAGAGTGACTGAAACAGTTGAAAACGTTAAACCTTAAAGTTAAACAAATACACCCTACATTTATTAGGCGTCAAGCACGTCAAAGCGTGTAACATGTTAATAGGCTAAACGTGCTTAGGTGCTAAACGCGTGGAAAAAATGAGACAAAACAGGCGCTTAGAAATGTGTCTCAGAGCTAAGCACTGTTTTTACAGTGTATTTGTGAAGTATGATTGTCACGTAATTGCCTTTTCAAAAAAAAAAAAATAAAAAAAAAAAAAAAAAAAAAAAAAGGCAAAACCAAGAAATATTTTTATTGTTATTATAAAAATAATATATATCTTTATCTTCCAAATAGATATATTTTTGCGCGCAGGAGTCATGCACCTCAAATGAACCAATGTAAACCAGCCTTGAAATCACGATCAAAACACTAGATTGTTGTTACATGTTTATGAAAACATCTCGCAGCTGCGCTCTCACTTCACTAAGCTGTTAACGCCCTGAAATCAGCGAGAAATATCATACATACTGTCACCGAAGGACTCCGCGTTAGTCTACATGTACATTCTTTATTTCTCTTGACTTCAAATAAACTCTGAATGACTCCCAATTTAAAGAGAGATTATGGGATTACCTTTGAGTCCAAATGAATCCGTATCATTTCAAGCTGACAATCACAAAATAACATGCTGTTTGTGGTTATTTAAGATTTCCTTTATCTACAGATTTGTAATTGCAGTGAATGGAATGTAATGTAAGGTACCTAGCTGTTGTTTAAACGCCGCACAGCACTTAACTGCGTTTTAGTTTCTACGACTATAATATTAAAGTTTTGTATCCACCCCTTATATACACTGTACATCTGTAGGTCTATATCTTAGGTACAACGGTGAAATATGTCGACTAAATATGGTCAGAATTTTTTTTATAGAGCAGATGCATCTGTATCCGTTGGATGACTATAATCTACAGCCTACAACCTTTATGCAACCAATTTTTAATCTCGGATAGGTTCTCTTCCTATGAAGTTTTTTCATATTCGATTAATTGTATAGAGTTAGGGGCGTGAATGCAGCTGAATTGAAACAATTTTATTCTCACGCCCCCTTGGGAAGATTCCGTGTAATTATTTCTTGGATAAAATTCTAGTGGTGGGCAGATTTCATATTTCTATTAAGCAAATCAAATCACGCAAAAGAACCCATTAGCGAGATTATACATGTCATAGTAGGTATCGCGCTATATAATGAGACTTCGTAACAAACAGGTCTGGCAGCCGTTGTACAGTTATGAGCGCAACGCTCCGAGTTTAATAAGTCCCCAGTAACTCGCCACTGATCCACCAATGCCTCTGCAGTTCCAATACTAAAAACGTACGTCAGGTAAAACACTGATTTTTCCAATGACATCTAAACTCAGGGTAGAAATCAAACATACTTGTACGTGAATTGTTGCACTCGATAGCACGAAAGCATATTGCGCGGAATTCATTGCATTCACTGCAACTGTATTGGCAACCCTTTCAACAAATCCCCTTTACATTTATTTTGAACCAGTAAAAACATTCTTACAGGGGTATATGTGATGATAGGCATCATGCTACTTCATTTTTCTATTTATTATATATATAGTGCGATGCACAAATGTAGGGATAATTCGCTTTTTTTCATGATTATTTTCAATTTTGTTCAACAAGCAAAGATGACATAATTTACATATTTCTGATGTTGATTTCAGTTTCTACTCTTCATGGCAAATTATGTTATATTATCACCAATTTAGACAAACAGAACTGATCTCAGTCTAATCTCTATATTGTTTCTATTAGGAGTGCTCGCTGCCAGTGTGTTTCGAATCGTTTAGTAAAAAAACTCGTAATATAATGAGTCAAGAATTATAAGATAAAAATCACCAATCACCAAAAAGCACACAATCTTTTATCAGTTTGTACTGAAGACTTACCCTTAGATACGATAGATAAGACAACAAATCCAGCAAGCCAGCAAAACATGCTATATTCTGTCTGTAGCTGATAAATCAGATAACTAAGCCTGCCACTCCCTGAAACTGAAATCACACGACGCAGTGACATATGTTATATAGCAAATCCCCATCACTTCAGTCACACGATATCGATCCACACAGAAAGTGTTAGAATTCCTTAAAGGTAAACAAGGTACGGCAGAAGGCTTCACATATCTGATACTGATATTTTAATTGCACCTCTGTATGAATCTGAAAACATAAATAATCTTTTAGCAATAGCTTCCCTCATCTTAATTAAGAAATTCATGCATATTCGCAGGCATGATGCGCGTACGTTGCATTGCGAATTTATGCCAATTCTCTATTTCTTTTTTCTATCTGAGATGGATTTCGTGATGTTATCTTATTGATGAAAAAAATACAGGGGATATATGATTTGTGAATTAAGATATTGTCAAACTGGTTGACATGATGGCAGGCATACAGGCCTGAGTACTGTACGGGTGTCCTTAGGCTGTTTCTAAATGTTCGTAAATGGCTTTTTTTATTTTTATTTTTATAGGCCTACAGCTAACGAACTTCTTGTGTTATACACCGCATAGTTCTCATAATGGTTATCAATTACAAAATTCTGGTAACAATATATTGATTAGCCTTTTAATAATAATGATAATAATAGGCATAATAATAATAATAATAATAATAATAATAATAATAATAATAATAATAATATAACTCATTCGATCTTAATTATCTTCAGAGTAGGCCTACAACTTTTATTTTCTATACGGCCCTAGTGTTCACACCACGTTTCTCGTTGGGAATGGCACTAATTTGAGAAATGAGAAGGTGAGACAAAGTTTATTTAAAAAAACATTGGATGGGCTTTTCAGACGGAGGCAAGAGAAATGTGGGGCAAAGGATTCTGGCAATGAAACCGCCAGGGAAGAGAAAGCGCGGGAGGCCGAGGAAAAGGTTCATGGATGTTATCAAAGAGGTGGGAGTAGAGAGGGACCAAACGCAGGAACGGTGAAAGTCGAGGCGTTGACCCATGAGAAAGGACAAAGCCGATAGTAGGCTAAAAGAGGCTAAAATACCCGTAGTTGAAATTAATTCATATTTTTATTGCACGAATTATAGGTCTATAGGCCTATATAGACCTACCTAGTAGGCATATAGGCCTATATGTCTATGGAAAAGACAAAAATAATTTGAAAAAAAAAATTAAATTACTAAATTTTGAGGTATGAGGCACAGATTTCGTTTTTTTTTCCATCAAAGGAAATCATCTCAGGCCACCATAAGTAATAAAAATGTAGATTTTCATTCCCATTAGGCCTACTGTAATCAACTAAGATAGGCCTACATATGTAGGCACCAGCTACTGGTAGGCCTACATATTTGTAGGCTACGTGTTCTACGTGCATTCTTTGTGAAATTTGTTTAAAATTCCGCCAACAAAGCATGGGATTACAAGAAATTTTTCAACGAAATTGAACCATATAGTAAATGTCAATTAACAATCAGTTTTCAAACATCCAAAATGAAACAACAAAATAGGCCGCATTCAGGAATGGCTCTTGGCTGCTCACTGTGCGCTGAGTGTGCGCTGCTCTTGGCACAGGATTTCCCCTTTTGACAAGGCATTATGGGAAACAAAGATGGCCGACTGGAGGAAGTGTATGCTTTTGTTACCCTTAGTTGTTTTAATAAATACAGGTAAGAAGTGCAAATAACAATCTTTTGTTCAACCAGAAGTAATAAATACGTTATTTGGTTCATATTAAAGTTAGGTAGATGTGTTACCAGTCTTTATTTATATATCAAGGTTGAATAATAGACTGGAAAGTCTGATCGAGTTGTGACTCATATCAACACGATTCAGCAAATACTAAGTAGTAAGTATTGACAGTAATTTTATTAATCGTAGATGGGCGATGGTTTTATTTTATAATGAAAATGTGCTCTTTAAATGAAATTTTCTCAAGTAATCAACTTGTTCAGCCAGATATACGAGGCGGAATCGGTTTGTCAGTTTGTAGCCGGCGTTTTCTTTTCCACTTTTGATACAGAAACAGCTAGTGAGTAGTGTATCAAACAGACTTGTTGACATGTCAGAGATTAATTGCTTTGTTTCCGCTCAGTAAAGGCCACATTGTAAGACATAACTGACAATTTAATACTTGTTTTTTAAGCTGATCATACTTCTATGTACTCTCTCCCACCCAATCAAAATGGAAACCTCTTTTTTCAGCATCTTCAACTAAAAAGAAATGGTATGCTCTCTTCCATTTCAGCTTCAGGTACTCGTGTGCAAAAACTGATATATTTTGATGTGACTGGGACAAGTGCTTGTTTCCGCAGGTTCAATGGCACACACCAAATTGGCTGTACATGTGAGTATCCCTCTTATTCATCTCTTAACTGCCCAAAAAGTTATTAAAATGGAGGTTATCAGTATCATAAAGACTTGGCTTTTGTTTTAACCAGTTTTATTTTATTTTTGTCTTCACTGAGTACCATCATTTATTTGGTTTCTTGGGTCATTTCAGTGGACTAGTACTTTGTTTTGATCAAATAGCTTGTACACTTAAAAAGAAAGAGCAGTGGCAACGTTGGATTAAATTTCAATTTTTTGGGCATTATTTTCTTTACATGTTATGAAAATATATATATATATATATATATATATATATATATATATATATATATATATATGATTAAGATTAAAAATATATTTCAAAGTAGTATTTTTTTGTTAAATTTTCTACAAAAACCTGTACCTGATTCCCTGTTAACCACCTAATTTCATCTCCAGCTGACCTGACAGGAAATGTAGGTGTGGTGCATTATATAGAAAACAAGTCTGATCTGGACTGGGTGCTGGAAGCAGGTCCTCACCAGCCATATGCTTTACTGATGGAGCCAGAGCATTTTAACAGGTAGGTACAGGTAACAAGGGCCGGGGTGGGGGTAAGGACATAGCAGTTCACCAGGGCCCCCATAACTCAAAAGCATCATGTATTGTGAATAGCGATATCACATAGAGGCTACTATGTTTTATGTGGGGCGAGTTACAGAATTGAGACACTTGCGCTCTGTCCAATGCGCTATGCTTTTGAGTTACGGGACCCAGCTATATACGCGTAATAAGGACAGGGTGGGGGGAACAGCCAGAGCAGTTCACCAGTTATGTACTTTGGGAAACTAAGGTCTAAGAACTTGCTGATCTAAAGCAGATATAGTGCAGGGTCATTAACAAAATTTTATGTCAATTACGTAAATATTTAGTGTCAGATATAATAAAGCATGCTTTTTATTCATACTTTAATGATTTAGACCAACTTTATTTCTCTGCAGGACCAATGTGATAGCTATCAAGCAATCTGGGAAGGTTAATGGAATTATGGTGATCAACAAAGAGAACTCCACGCTGCCTTCTAGTTTTCATTTCTCTCCTGATCAGTCGTGTCCCAATAATGTGAATGGTAAGAAACTTTCCTTTGATGGTATAGTGTGAATTAGAAACCTGGAATAAATTGGGAATTACAATGTACTTTCTAGACTGCCCTTTGCCTCCTTCTCACCTCACACATGATGTTTTTTCCCAATTATGAAGATAATGTACTTGGTTTCAAGAATAATAATAATAATAATAATAATAATAATAATAATAATAAGATTCTTATATGGCGCCTTACATTCTATCTCAAGGCGCCTTACAATAATGGCTAATATACTAAAATCATTAAAATGACTACAATATTTAAATCACAGGTCTGTATGACAAGAACAGCCAGTATGCAGACTGCAGTAATGTCACATGGAACACTGCTGGCAATGGCCTGATGTTCATGGACTTTGGCATGCCGATATTTTCTGTACAGAACGAAACAGAAATAGACTACATAATACACAAGGTATTTTGTAATAATGATATATGATATCAAATATTTTTATTGTCAAAAAAGAAAGAGAAAGTTGGTTAGTAAAAGGCACACAAAGGACTTTGGACCTATATATATATTTATATATTGCTCATTTTAAAATTTCGTGAAAATTTCAGCAGTTTTCCAGCTTTCCTCAATAACCAAGCTATACTGTCTACATGAGTGTTAATGTAATTACATTTTTTTTTGCTGTTTTAAGTTCAAACATGCATGGCTTACCATAGAGGAGACCAATATTGTAATATGAATGATATCTGATGTTGGTGAAATTTTGAAGGAGGACAGTGTCTTTTATTCTCCATTTATTCATTATGCTCTACATCAGCTTTGAAGAACACTTTTTGAAAGACTGGGGAAAGTGTATATTTAGCCCATGACAGTTTGTATATTGTACTTTTATTTAAGCATATTTGGAGACCCAGTATTGGGATTTTAACAGAGTTCATCTTCCGAATATGATATTTGCTTTATTTAACAAGTTTTTCTACGAGAGTGTCAACTGATATGAATATCATATTTTTATTTCCAGTGTTTTGCTGCCTTTAACAAACCCATCAATGGCACTCCAAGGGAACACCCCCTGTGTGCTGCACAGCTGAAAGATTTCATGACAGGTGCCAAGGATTCACACACCTGCCTCAGTAGAACCAAGAGGATAATTAATATAAATCCTGGTAATTCTGAATACAACAATATATTTCCAAATGCATATTAACCAGCACAGGCAGCTTGAATGCTGCATGGTTATTTGCTGGTAGGCCCTCACTTTTAGCTTAAGGAAGTATTCATTTTGTTCCCAATAAATCTTAAGGAGGATGCTAATGTGATACAAATATGAAGTATTTAAGTGTAAGGAAACCTTTGATTTAATTATCTCCTCATTTTCTGTAAATATTGGTTTATAAGATTCTAAGTAGGATGACATGAAATAAGTGTGCAGATACAAATACTCTGAAGTAATAAAAAGCTGACAAATGTGCAGATGGTGAGCAAGTTTGTTAGTTCAATTTGTAAATCTGGACATTTAATTTAAGTTATCCAACACGTTGCCTGGATGAACTCTAACCCATATTATATCCCAATGCATTTTCTTCACAAAAGGGTGATAGGCTTGTAAATATATTTCATGTTTTTTTTAGAAAAAAGACTCTGGATCTTTTATTAATTGTAAGCCTTGTCAAAATAAAGGTAATCCACACTTTTACGAAATAATTGAATAAATTTCTGTACCTTTCAGAAACCTACTGTGACCCGCTGGGAGACCAGAATGTGTATGGATTGCTGAAACCTGTGTCAAACAATGAATCTCTTCCCCAGAAGTCTATCATCATGGCAACTGCCAGGGTCAGTTATAGCCTACATTACTGTAATTGCATGTAGAAGTGAATAAAGCAAATATTTCTTAATTGTGCCAAATAAATGATATTTCTGATTATAAGGGTTAGATTTTTCATTTTGAAAAGTCTTCCCATTCAGTTTGGTGGAAATGTGTCCATGATGTTTAGAAATTAAAACTGGGATTAACTTGGCTGTAAAAAGTCCACAAAATTTAAATGCACACTTAGGGGATCTGAACGGCAAGACGCAGCAAATTTACTTTAGTCAGACTTATTGATTGGGCTGTTGCTGATTTTGCTTTTACTTAATAATATCTCTTCATAAAGGTGAGGGCGCTAAAATTGATTACCTAGTGATTTTTTTACAGTTGGACTCATTTGGTTTGTTTGAAGCTCAGTATGCTGAGCTTGAAAGCCCAGTGGTCAGTTTTATTACCTTACTGGCTGCAGCAGAGGCTATTGGACGGGTCAAGCAGGATATAGTAGAAGATAAGAATGCAAAGGATATCATGTTCACTTTCTTCCAAGGGGTAAGATACAGGGGTGCACTACTACAGTCTGAGATAACTTTTTTGGTCGAATTGTGTAAATTTTCGTGTAATGATTTATTTTGTTAAACTCTTGAAATTCAAATAGAAAAATTATTCTTTTACCAAAGACAAAAACTTACTTTGTCATGAATTTAGGTGATAATATTTGATATTTGTGATATTTTTCTTATTTGTCTATGTAATTCATTTTGCCATTAGTATCAAAAATTCATTTAAAATCTTTACCTAACTATAAAATTAATTATATTTAGGAATCATTAGACTACATTGGCTCAGGGCGTATGGTATATGACATAGAGACTGGTGTTTTCCCACAGAATAAAGACAAGTATGGCATTCATGTCATGAACTTTTCACACATTGCCCACTTTGTAGAGGTGGGTCAGGTGGGACTGGCAGAGGGAGGGGCGTACTATCTCCATAGCGACCCTGTCAGTCAGAGAGATGGACAGTTGGCAAAAGAGGTAGGTTTGGGGAATTAATAAGAATAGATCATTATCCTCAGTAATGCTGGCAGTTTTTTCAAATCAACAGCTGAAATTTAGAGACACTGAATTATTTAATATACTTTCTTATTTATTATGAATAAGGATACTACCTGATGTACTGCTGAATTTTGTCCTCCACTGTCTTAATTGTGTTACAGGTAACAAAACTTAAGATTAACTTCCAAGAAGCTGTGGCCAGCATGAATATAACCAACTTGACTATAGAGGGCACTGCAGTGCCCCAGCCACTGCCACCTGCATCTTTCCAGAGTTTCTTGAAGAAAGCTAACATCTCAGGAGTTGTTTTGGCTGATCATGAGAGGGAGTTTAAAAACAGGTCAGGACAGTTCAAGTTCTAGAGAGTGAATTGTTTCTCATTGAGATATCTACTAGATCTGTAAATTTTTCTTTTCGTGCACCTTGCCTCATAGGAAGAAATCATGCAACTGTAAAATTTAAACATTGTCAAACATGCACCAGGTTGGTAGTACTTATTCAGTAGAAAAAGACACCCTCCTTTATTGATTTTTTTACTTGGGTGGATAAATTAACTGGAAAAGAGTTCGATAGAACCAAACTGCAAATAGATTCAGTATATGATTACCAATAAGATTATAACCGACCGGATGGCCTTGTGGTTAGAGTGTCCGCCTCCAGAGCGGGAGGACGTGGGTTCAAAACCCGTCCGGGGACATACCAGTCCTTTATAAACGGTACCTGCTGTCTCCCCGCTTGGCACTCAGCACTTTGGGGTTGAAGCAGGGTCCTGGTCAGGCAGAGAACGATATTGTAAGATTGATAGCACTCAGCGCCTCATACGGCAGCGGGGCTGTATCCTCCCCAGGGAGGCGAGATTGTACACAGCGTGTTTTGACCAGTTGTATACTTGTTATATGTATGTACATATTTGTAAAGTCTAACGAACATATTCATATGGAGTTTAGACTTAAAATAAATATATTATTATATTATTATTATTATTATGACTTATCATATGTTCAGAAACCTTAACCGTGTCATATTTTTCAGGTTTTACAACAGCCGTCTGGATACGTTAAAGGGTCAAGGTATGGACTGGCCATCTGACCGTCCAGAAAACTTCAACACCACTATTCAGCTGAGCAGAGATATTCAAATTCTGGCCACTGCCCTGGCTCGGTCACTTTACATCATGGCTACTAATAGTACACAGAATATCTCTAGGATTAATGCAGCATTAGACGAGGTATGATGCAAAAGTAATTCTGTATTTTGAACTTGATTAAAGATAACTTATTTAAAATGCAAGTGCTGTAAAGGTATTGTATGTTGTTGAAGTATACCAGTCATATGGCAACTGGCTGCGCGTAGGAAGATATTCAGAACGGAGCGCGTGCGCTGAGATGACGTCGCGGTTGAAATTTTGTAAATTTCGCAACCAGCGCGGAAATTAAAGAATTGGACTTTATTACCTCTGTGGGTGCTTATGAAAAGTTAAGGCATGGTAGCAGAGTTTATCACGCGTCTGTAAGTGTGAGATTTACCCAGAATCAAAGTGAAATGAAGGAAATATAACGCGACAAAGTCGGCCAACATGCCGATTATTATCCATAGCAACACCGTAACATTTTGAGATATCTCCTATCACAGAGAGTGTGCACCTTATTCCAGTCGATAGAAGATGACTTTTAATACACAAAATAAACCTACCAAGTTTCATCAGAATTTATTCTGGCAACTTTTTTT